GAAAACAAACCATGTGCCAGCTATTTGTCTTGCTTTAACACATGCCTGGAGGGCCCATGGATACAGACGAGATAGGAATTACTATCCCAAGCAGGCTGGCTGCCTAGCTTGCTCTTCCACTTCCAGCTCTTACAAGCTTGCATGTTTAAACAAACAAAAAAAGTATAAAAAGAAGGGTAAGCAGCATCAACCACCACTCCTGCAATACACATACACACTCCTTTCTCCCCTGAAATCAAGCCTGGGCTGCAGCAATTAAAGTGTAGCTGGGAGACCCCCCGAGCTGCTCTGTAGCACCATGACAGCAGCTCACACCCACCACAGGGCTGGGTCAGAGACCTACACTCTTCACAGGCTGCCACCGCACAGACCTCATCAGCTTGTGAACCAGGCCCCGGTCTCCAGCGCACACCAGGACAGCAGCATCCCAACCAGAGGCCGTACGAGGTGGGAACATCCCACACAGGATCCCATAGGAGCTCTATGTCCTCAAGGAGAGCTGCTGCCTTGCCAAGCTCTGCCAGGAGGTATGGAAGGGGTCAGGTCAGCTCCATGCCCCTGGCTGCACTGCTCGTTAGCAGCTGTACAGTCACGCTGAGCAGTCCCAGTGAGGGCAGGGTGGTCGTGTCCCTCTGCAATTGCAGCCCAGAGGAGCCCCAGGAGAAGGAATCCCACATGCTGTGCACATCTGAGCTGCACTGCACTATCCCATTGCCACCCGATCCGCACCCAGCAGCAAACCTGGCCGTGTTGTGACATTCACAGCGATTAACACAGAGCAAAGAGGCCGCAGCTCAGATGCCTGATGTCACCTGCCCGGCTCGAGTTTCCCTCAGTAAACAAGCAAGTGCAGCTCAGCTTCCGCACCCCCCCCACACCCCGAGAGGCACCCAGCTCACAAACACACTCTAACCACAAAGTGTCCCTAGTTCAACAGTGAACATAGATGTAAAGAAGCAAAATAAAAATACCAGGAGGTGAATGAAAGTGTCTCTAATGTCCCTGCCCAGAGAGAACTGCCACCGCAACATCACCACGCATGCTGCCAGCTCGGTCATCCATCGCCTGTGCCCTCACCCGGCTGTCAATGACCTTGCCAAACCAGCCTGCAGCGAAAGCCACCTGTGCCCCATCTCCACCCGGCTTTGCAGCTATCAGGGGATCATCCTGCTGTAAAAATAAAAGTGATTTGGCCTAATGAAGCTGTAACAAGGGACACAAGCATGAGCGTGCCAGCAGAAGCCCTCTGTGACCCTGGAGTAAGTGACAATGGTGGCACAGATGTGACCAGCACAGGGGTACAGCCAGCAGCCGCCACTGCCAGGGGGGAGGTCTGGCCATGGCACAGCCTTAGCTGCCACCACCCCTCGGCCAGGGCTGGTCCCCAGCCCCGCAGTGGCAGAGGAAGAACGTGCTGAACTTGCCCCTCTCTGGAGCAGCTTTGCTGTGGGCCAGCTTGGGGCAGCTGGAAGCAGCAGCTGCAGACGGAAGCAGCAGGGCCTTTTGTACAGCTGGCAGGCGAGGACTGTGCTGCTGACAGCTGCTAACCACCGCTGTTTCCCTATGGAGACACAGGAGCTCAGAGATAGGAGCAGGAAGGACGAAAGGAAGAACATGTCCTGGCACAGGGCAGGTCAGAATGCATCCAGCCTGGCAGCACCAGCTTAGGAAGCAGCAGCTGCAGACGGAAGCAGCAGGGCCTTTTGTACAGCTGGCAGGCGAGGACTGTGCTGCTGACAGCTGCTAACCACCGCTGTTTCCCTATGGAGACACAGGAGCTCAGAGATAGGAGCAGGAAGGACGAAAGGAAGAACATGTCCTGGCACAGGGCAGGTCAGAATGCATCCAGCCTGGCAGCACCAGCTTATGCTGCCTGTCCCCCTCCCCATCCACACTCCTGTCCCACCTCCTGCGTGCCAGCACAGCCACTCTGATGTCTGCAAACCAGCTCCTGTCCTCGCTGCAAGGACGGCTCAGCAAAGGAGCTGCTGAACATCCAGGAGAACCAGCAGAGATGGAGGCATCTTCGCATGCCAGGCTGTAAGCACAACAGGACAGCAGCTGCCACGTCCCCATGGCTCTGAGCACAGACCATGTCACTTGCCCCAAGGTAAATCCCTGCTGGTTACCAGCCGAGGAAGTTTTTCCCCTTTAAGTTTAACCCAGTCAAGAGTTTTGGAGTGGAGGAAGGTCACAGCTTGATGCAGTCCCTAGTTCTGCCAACCCAACCCTACAGCAAAGGAGCAGGAGTCCATTCTGCTGCTCACAACGGCAACAAAACTGCACTTGGAAATTTTATTGTAGAAACATGAGCTGGGAAAAGCCCAGGGCAAACTGACTGGGCTGGAATTCAAGCCCAAACATCATTACTGGTAATTAATGGATTTTGGCGTGGACTTATTGACACACAGAGGCCAAAGCTGTCACTGCTGGAGTGACCGTACAGCTGCACTCACAATTACTTCACTAGCACCTTTTGTTATGGCACAGCCTGCTCACAAGCTTGGGGACGTCAGCTGGAGCGCTGCCACAGCCCTCACGCATGTCACATCACGGGTGCGCAGGGGCCACCGCACGCCCCAGCCTGTGTGCACCCCACTAAGCGTCCCTGGACGTCCCTTCTTCCAGGCCGAGCCTCCTGCAGCACACGGCAGCGCAGCAGCTCCTGGCAGACCTGTTTCTAAGGGGCAAGCAGGAGAGCCCGGGCGCACACACCATCCCTCCAGCATGTGAACTGGGCTGGGAGGTTATTTTAAACACAGCTGTGGTGGGTGACACACTTAAAATAACAAGAGCTTGCAAGTGTCTGAGCAGCAAGCTGGCCTGATAACGTGCTGTCAGCCTCACACAGCCCAAAGTCACAAGGCAGGGGAGGGGGGGAGTCAGACAACTGTGATTTGCTATTGTTCTCTGTGCCATTGCAGGGTGCAATTTCTGTTCTTTATGATTAGAAAGGATAACATCTTTGTCTAAATGAGACCTGAGTTCACACCAAGTTCCTCACTTGCAGCTCGATGAAAGCTTACTTGAACAAGTGAGTTAACAACAATGCAAAATAAACAGCTTCTAAAAGCAGTACACATTTCAAAATAAGAGTTTGTAGCCCACGCAGAAAATGAAAGACCTTTCAATAAGATCAAGTACTTTGATCTGAAACCAAGAGACTGAGAGTGCCTGAAGCTGCTCTTACACCTGGTAGCTGGGAACAGACTCTTGTGTTTCAACACCACAGAAACAACCCTCACCTACATCAGCTCCAGGAAACAGGCGTCCTCAAGGGCAGTCACACAGCCAGACAAAGCAGTGCCCGAGGCTGCCCACAAGTTCAAGCTGAAAAGCAGAGGGTCCTGCTGGCCACGAGAAGTCCGTGAGGACAGGACAGCTCGGAGAAAGCTTGGCCAACTCGGGAATGCCGGCAGCATAGGGACCAACAGTGTGGTGTGCTGATGTGCCACGCAGCTACACATCACTGCTCCCTCTCAGCTCCAGTACTGTCCTGCAGAGCCAGGGTTTGGGTGCACAACCAGACACGCAGGATGATGACCAGTTTCTCTCCTAATCAAGACACCAAGTTTTTGCTTGGCTGCTCAGGTCATCAGTGAGAAACCCCCCACCACGGGGATGTGTCAGCAAATTCCACCTGCATCCCATGATGACATTTGTGCCGGGCATTTGTGCTGGGGCCAGTCACTTCAATGCAGTGGCTGCGGTGATGAACGCTCCATGCTGAACAGAGGAGGCAAGAAGCACATGGGTGCCCAAAATGATCCTTTAACCTAAGTAGAGCAGCTCCAACGTGCACTCCTGCTCCCGAGGTGGCAGGGAGGGGGGCAGACCTTACTGACAGCTGGGCACTGGCCTGACCCACAGGAGAGCTGGAATCCAGCCGCCCCCTTGCTCTGCACTGCTGCAGATCTCTCCACGCACACGCGGGCTGGCGACTGAAGGCTCAAGCGTTTGAGTTCACAGGGGACTGTCTCACCACCCTCAGGGCACTGGAGCAACCCGATGAAGTGAGGGACTCCAGCATGAATAGGGAGAAAATCCAGGGCTGCAGCTTTGCTGTGGAGCTTCTAAAAACAAAGGGCCGGCTCAGTGCTTACCCTGGGCAGGC